CCAACCCAAAAAGTCTCAAAGCACACGGGGCATAGCATTGCTGTTGCTGTTTCTGAATCTTCTAGGTAAAATCGGCTAGAAATGCGAGAATTTTCGTCTTGATTTAACGACGAATTTAGTATCTTTTTAATGCAGGTGGGGGAATGTTTGTGTATGCATATATGCTTGAAGACGTTGAATACCTCTAATGAGAGGCTTCAATGCAATCGTCTGGGATATTTTGTATATGAAATTATCAAACGAGCTTAGTACAGCACTATCATTTTCCCTTTTTAAGGAAAGTATAGCCAATTTTAGTGACAGCTGTGGCACGTACACAAATTTGGGTGGGGCTTTTATTCAGTTGGCTAGTATCATGGAAAATCGCCACTGATTCATACTATAAAATAATCTTGATACCCTATAATTTTTAAGTAGAATTTTTTATTGCATCTAAAGCATTCGATCCAGGATGGACAAGAAGGTAAATGAAGTATATTGCTGCTTGTAGTAATTAATTTGATCGAGATTTACTACTGAAATGTACATTTCCGATTTTGACTTCTCATTGTTTATTCATGTTTTTTAGTTTTAAAGAAACCTTCATCAACAGCAACTGGATTTTTTAAGTGATGAATCTACATTTCCTGAAAGCAGTAATTTAAACTGCTAAAACCTTATATTCTCTGCCATACTTGAGTAACTTAGTGGGCGGGTTCATTTTATATTTAGGTTAAATAAGCAGCCTTAGATAGTTTAAACACAAAAAAGTTAACTGATGTAAGGCATTTTTCCTATTCAAGGAACAGATTTGTCACGTCACCTACTGAACCAATGGCGCAAACAACAGCTGCTAGATTTTTCAGCATCATTTTGCAAAGCCGGGGCAATTAAAAATTTTGTCTAAACAATCAAATTATGGTAACAGGGACTACAAAACCCACTCGATGTGTCGTAAGATTAACTTTAAGATGGAATTTCTGTGCTGATAAGTCCTGCAATTGGGTAGATTAGGTAAACAGGTGCCTGAACCATCCAATACCTATCTCTTGTGGGTATAACCGCCGTCAATGCCTTAAAGTTTACTGCATGATAGCTACATCTTCACGGGCAGCTAACTGACTCGCCGTGGTTAAACGCAATTGCTCGAAAAGTATGTGTAAATTGCCGGCTGGAACTCTTTAGTGCAAAAAACAAACAGCAATAAAAGGAGAATGAAAATTTATTAAAGCCAAGGGGAAGAGGGTTTTATAGTCTTGCCAAGGTGTCGAAAGGTCGGCCTTTTCTGCCTCGGTGGAATACTACCGCGATCTATTTAGTGATGCAAATATCACCCGCTTGACCTGTTGGATTGCATTGGTTTTACGCGTTCGCAGACTAGTGGATGTTTACTTTGTGCAATTTCAACAAGTGAGATGGATCACAGGAGTCATTTTTAAAACTAAGGTAGCAGTTGGCTTAAAGTTAAATTCTTATACTTAGTATACTTAACGATAAAAGAAAGGGGGTCTCCTATGCCATTTATAACTCTAAAAACACATGTGGAAGGCAAAGAAGCAGCAGCCAAAACTGCTTACGGTTTTATATTTTAGATTATTTGCTGCCAGTATTTTTTTTTAATGTTACCGTATAATGTAGTCGATGAAGCACTGTGCTGCTGCCCAAGAGCTAGAAAAGTGGTTTTAAGATACTACTTCAACATGCTGACTTTAGTATGATTTGAGGTGCAAAAGTATTTTGTTTTGCCGATACAGTAACGTTTGGGTCTTCTTCCAGTTTATACTGCCTCCCCCTTCTGCCCTAAAAGGTCATTTTAGCACCTGCGTGACCCTCTGTAGATTGCCTTCTGCTGATTGGCGCGTAATCGGTTTACCTAAACCGCCACTACATTTATTAAAGCCGAGGCGCAGTTTTCCTCATGCCATCTCCCGGTGCACCCAAAAACTTACTTTTAAATATGAAAACGCCCAAAGTAATATGATTTGACTTTCTACAACCGTACTGTCCAGAAACTCATACCTGCATGGGTGATTGCAATCGTCATCAGGCATAATGCAACACTAATGAACGAGAGTTCGTTCACAATGGAACTTGGTTTAATACTAGAAACTTTTGTCGGTTGGACACACTTTCACCAGCTATGTTACCACTTATTTCTCCATAAATAACTAGCCTATATTCACTTAATAAGAAGGAACAGTTAAATTAAGCCTAAAGCCTTAGAATTTTTTTTGAGTGGTCATTTGAGTTCGCCACATGCAAACACTCAATCACATATTTTTACACAAATACACGATTTCAGCATTCCCTCCAGGAGACTTCACCTGATAAAGTCCCTAACCTTAAATAAACCGGAAGCACTATTGTTCTTTCTCTTAGGAAATTTTCCTAAATTTTTAGCTTTTTTAGTCCTTAAGAAAGCAAGTGGGTTTTTTGGCATCTGCTTATCCTAAAATGCTACCAAGTACAGGCAAAATAATCCAGTAAAAGCAACTTGCAATATTTTCTTGGGAAATTCATAGGCCCTAAGACTTGTAGCAAAAGATAGCTGTCTGTCTGACTTCGTATTGTAAAAACCTGCCTGTCAGTCACCTGATGGTACTTTCATCCACCTTCCATTCCCTACACTCGCGCTGAGCGTTGACAGCTGCCAATCGGACCTACAATCGCCGCGACGGCGTTACTATTTGGCGAATGAACGCAGTGGAGGGGGGGGGGGAGATGGAAAAGCAAGGAAAAAAATCCACATCGCAAGTGCAAATGGGGTTTGATACAGGTTTCTCGACTCATCTCACCTTTCCTCACTACGTTCCCACAATTTTTATTCACAGAAGGACACATTTTTCTCTTTGCAGGTTCAGATGCAGTTAATATCGGATCGTAAACAAATCTTTTGTTTTTGTCGCCATTATCCGTGTTTTATAAATAAAAATTAGTGATTAGTGATTTTATAGCAACATGACTCTGTAAAACAATGTACCGCTGCCCGAATTGCATTGTGATCAAGTCCCTAAGCTGCTACATGGAAGAGATGCTGAGGTTGTGTACTCTATAGGAAGCGTATAAATTTTGAGCAATCGGGTATTGTGATCTGTTGGAAATATGCATATTCAGTTTCTCCGGTTGAGAATGCTTGACGAAATAGGGAATAAGGTGCCGCTTGAATAAACACCAACTCTGGCATTTCGATGCAATATTTATGAACTTTCATTTGTGCTTTAATCTAACAGCGATTGGGACGGATTAGAACTTGTTTAGCAAATATGGTTCTGCATATCAATGTAAATAATGGATGCTAGATAAAACACACATTTGCACAGAAATAGCACCAAGCCGCTGAGAGAGCAGGAAAAAGGGAATGGACATTAAATCAGTCCATGCTATTAATGATAGGTATGATTAGCATTCTCATCAATGAGCGTATTGCTAAATGGAGGCGAGTGTGAGTGATAACCACGGTCAACCAGTCGGAGGACGAAGCAAACAGGCTATGATGATGGAGTAAGAGGGCTTTGGCTTGGTCAAACATGTGGCGTCGTCCCCTCTGACGCTTCCTCGTTTGAACTTAAATGTTAGGATTACACGAGTGGGCCGTCTTTTTTCTCCCCCTAGTCCTGTGTGTCTGCTGGCATGCAATAACATTCATCGGTATCCCATAGGCAGGTGAGTAAGTTCAGGACGCGAAATATTTGAGAAAAATCAGGAGTAGAAATATACCATTTGATCCCCCTGAACTGGATTACACATAAAAAAAGCTTCTATAAATTACGTAAGTCGGCCTTACTCCCCTTCAACTTAATCAGTGGCCTCCAAAGTGTGGCCAAAACATCGTTTCACTAATGCAATTAAATGGATGCATTAGGGAGGGAGTCATCGAATGTGCTCTACACCGTTTTTCTATCATGACTATTAAAAACATATCGAAGTAGGCTGCTTTTCACTCTCTAACGCAAGATTCTAGAGGTTTCATAGTGTTAGATATTTGCCTAGTACATACTCTTGACGACATCTGAACGATCTCTGCCCATTTGTTGTTCCAATCCACAAAAACCAGTCCAGCTTATCCACGTGAATTTCTGATCAGGGTTGTTGGCAAGCCGACCAAGAATGGAGTTCAACCTTCATATGCGATTGAAATGCCAAAGCGTGCTGTAAACAGGACCTGGACAGACGTTCAATTTAAGGCAAGATTTGATCGCAAACATGGCATTCTTCCTAAGATCCTCATGTGGGTGGCTATATGTTGTCCAATGTAAAACGGCCTAAGGATCTTTTCCTGCAGCTAATTCGTCTTGCAAATGTCAGACCATTGTCTGGCACCAATTAAGCTACTTCAGCTCCTTCTGTAGAAATGGGTTCTAGGAGATGGTCCCTTTCATCTTGGAAGGGGTTGCAAAAAATTCCTTGCCTGTGACAGCGGAATCATTAACTGCTTCTGATTCAGGTTTGATTTTCCAGTTCCTTCTGATCCTCCTTCATCAACCCTAAGAGGACATCGACCCGACCGATTTTGACAGCTAATTAAAATTGGGTGGCATAATTGTATCCGAGTAATGAATTTCCGTCCCTTTCTCTGTCTTAATCCTCAAACAAAAAAGAAACTCTTTTTGCATCCAAGGACAACTAGAAGTTTATGATCTGCGATCAACATAAAATGTGATTATACAAATGTCTGGTGGAACGTTTTACTGCAGACTATCACAGGAGGAGTTTATCAATCTAGCCGCAGTTTCCTTTCTCTGGAGTCCGTGAACGATTAACAGCGCTGATCTCCTCCGATTAGTCAGGATAGACGTGAGTTATGCCTGTATTTAACACAAAGTTGGATGCATCTGGCTCTAGAGGTGAAAAAGTGGGATCGTATAGAGTCCGCAAGCATAGATTTGATCTCCTCGAAGGAATACTGCCACTCTGTCGTCCAGTACCACATAGCACTCTTTGTGAGTAATCAATTAAATGGATAATGGATGTCTTATTTTACTGACAAATAGATACTGCAACAGTCAACCAGTCCTAGAAATGACCAACCGAGTAGGAGGCATTTAGTTGATTAGCATGGTTTTTTAAAAAGTAGTCTTCTATTGTGTTTTTTGACTGAAAACTTCAAACTTTTACAGAATCCATAGCAAAGACACATTTGTCTTGAAGTAGATGTCTACCAAGAACACACTCTCTTTATCAGATAATTTACGTTTAGAATGGAACTGAATGAAAGATATCATCCAGATAGGTTGCTGTGTCCTCGACATCGTGTTCTCCATGGTCTACTGGATTATGACAAGCGTACTGAAATAGTCCAGTGTGAGTGTTGAACGTCAAAAATTTCAAGTCTCTGACCTAAAGAGAGGCGTCGAAGATTTCCTTTCTTAAGGAGAATCGATCTTCGTCCAGTTTACTTAAGCGATCTTCCAGGAGTGAAAATGTTTATTGGAGATCCTCAAGTTCTGCGTTAAGTTCAACCGGGAAATTAAAAATTGCATGAACATTCCTTGATGAACTACTTGACAGGCCTCAGAGCTCCTGTTTTTGAAACCTTTCCAGTTCCTGATATGTAAAACGTCAGGTAGAATTTAAAGACAAGATTTCGAGTAGAACACAGGATTTATGTCAAAGCCATGAGGTACCGTTAAGCCAAATAAATAGAACGATTTGCATCAAATCATCTGGATAACAAATTCCATGGACTCTCAAAAATTAGTAAAAATGAAGGTTTACGATTCTTTGTTTCGTAAAATTAGTAAATCACAGGACTTATTTAAAAGAATATGCCATTACTTAATAAGGATTAATAATATTTGCAGCGGTTCATCAAATTTCTATGCTGCTTTACAAGGAAGGGTATCAGGTTCTACCAGTGGGTGGGGATAAGCTAAAAGGAGGGGGGTGGACAGAGGTTTCGAATGACCTGCTCGGGGGCGGGGAGCAAAGGGGTAGAATTTATGTCTTCTAGAAGGATAATTTGATGAGGTCAAGAAAATGTGATTTTCTGCAGAACACCTGCCTGTAACGAGGTCTCCCCATTTCCATCTCCTTTATAATCAGAAGGTCAATCTCCTTTGCACAGTTTTATTACTCTTAAGAAAGTTTGTACTCAACCCCACCTTCACCTCATTTAAATGACTTATACGCAGTTTCCAATTTGTCGTCTGCAAAATATGAAATGTTGATAGAAGTAATCTCTATTTTTTGAATCGAAAGTTACTAGAGGTATTTATGTTAGCTGCGATGCTGCATTATACTAACAATGTGATGTAGCAACTTGGGACCTCTCTGAAGACGAGAGAAGACAGTACCCGGGTAGATTATATAATGTCAACGTGCCACAGGGCTTGAGGCTACTGGCATGACCTGGAGGCCTGGCCGCCTGAGAGACGTACAATGGCGGAGCCCCGCAGTGGTCTGTTACCAAGACCGAGAATTAAACAAAGTATTACAGCAGTGGACTTTGGTAAAAAAATAAAGAGGGATCAAAAAGATAAACATATTTTAACAAAAGTAAGGTTTTAAGACCATTTTAAGGTTTTTTTCACTTACCTAAGTTAAAATGAAGCCTCATGTTTTAAAATGAAATGTTAAGAATATGGTAGAAAACTAAAAGTAATATAGCATTTGTTTTAGCCGCTGGAATTAAAAATTTGGGGGTATAGATAGGATTACAATAAGAATTGGAAATCACATTAAAGGTACATACATGCAATCATGTTTGGGGTAGAGGGGGTGAATTACTGTAGAAGGCAGCGTTTGACCTCAATGACTTTATTGCGGTCACTCTGGGGGGGGGGGGGGGGAGATGGTGAGCGAAGTTGCTTCTACCACACTAGGAAGGGGGATTATACCAGCTTTCTCTCCTTACAGAACATCATTTTACGAGTGTGCGATATCGCGCGGCAGTCATTTCTCTTCTCTACTTCTTTCTTTTTCCTTCATGACACTTTATCCCGTGGCTTACGAAACTTCCCTGATGATTTGGAAGAACCAGAGGTGGGCTCAGTCGTGCACTCTTTCCCCATTATGAAGACTACCACATAAGCATAACACTGTAACTCGTTCACTTTCCGTCATTTAAAAACGGCGAAAATGCTCTCATT